GGTCCTTGCTGATTGGCTGAAAAATAAATTTTTTTTTTTTGACTTCAACCATTGACAATGTAGCATGTGACGCTGAGAGTGCTAGGGTGCCCAGTCACTAGGAGTCCTTGACATCACCCTTAAGAGAGCTTGTTTTACGAAATTTTCAACACTTTCCTCAATATAAATTCCTTTGCAAAAGGACAAACTTTCTTTACCGAAAAGGACCAACACAAAGCCAAAACAGTGAGGCCAAGTTTGGTATGATTGAAAAAAGACAAAAAGTCAAAAAATTACTATCCTATTTAAGTCACATCATCTTATTTAAGTCACATCATCTCTCTAACACATCACTTCAAACCCAACCCAAACCCAACCCATATTTCATAAAAAGTCAAAAAGTACACTTATTTAGTCTTCCCAAACTAGGCCTGAGTCTATAAACGCAAAAAAAATAATCATAAATCTTATCAAAGGCCAAAATTTATTTCTGAGCCCATAACAACTTTAAATATAAAGCATTAATTTGATATTTTAGACATTTTTGTAACGTTTGGTAATATTTATATTTTTTATTTATATTTATAAAATTTTTATAAATTAGTTTTTATTTATTTTTAAAAAAACATAAATTACAAACGCGTTTGATTTAAACAAAATATTTAAAAAAATTTAAAAACATAAACTAAAAAATATGTTTGTTCAGACTTAAAATATTTATATTTATTTTTATTATTTATGACAATAGGACATATACATTATAATTGAAAAAAAAATTATTTGGAAAAAAAATATTTGAAAAAAAATAATTGAAAAAAAATTATTTGAAAAAAAAATTTAAAAACTGAAAGCGTAAACTCATTTTTTGAGTTTACGTTTTTTCCTCAAATTTATAAACTGAGACAACCATTTATAAACTAAAAAAATTATCAAATAAGTTTTTATGACAATTTTTAAAAATTTTATAAATATAAACTGAAAATTAAAAATGAAATGATTACCAAACAGGCCCTCTGTAGTCTTGTTTTTATACAAGAATAGACTTCTTGAATGGAATAGACTTTTCACCAATACACAAAAATAAAAAATAAAATAATTAACTTGATTCGATGATAATTAACACATAATTTAACATATTTATTTTTTTAAAAAGGCAAATTATACAAATCTTTTCTATAATTTGAAATTTGTGTCATTTTAGTCACTGACATTTTAATTGTGATATATTTGACTTTAAATTTTGAATTTCATTCCAAATAAAGACAATTGAAGACATTGTTATTCCATTTGATAGGCAAAGTCGTCATACAACTTATTTTGTGTTGGTTAACTTATATGTTATTTGAAATATTATGACACTTTTTTTTTTAAATGAATAATGTTAGAACTTTTTTAGTTATAAAATTCTGTTTGGTTTGATTTCAAAATTTATTTTCAAAACAAAATTTTAAGAAACTAAAAATTAAATTGGTGAAAAAAAATTAAAAACGTATCATTTTTATATAATTGTATCTTTTGAGAGAGTAGAAATAATTTTTTTTTGATATTTATTTTCATTAAATTAGTTTTTATTTTTTCAAAAGTCAAACTTTGCGATAACTTTGTTGTCATTATTAAACTAATCTCTTAAATCAAAAAACCCAAAACTAAAAATATTTCATATATTAAACCTATTAATTAGACATTAAAAGTCTAATAACCAACCATTATATGATAACCATCAAAAAATATTTGTTTAACGACAAATACAATCATCTATATAATAAGACAAGAAGCCTTTTGAAAATGTCTCAAAATGTATGTGAGATACATTTTGATCCAATGGTTTAGATTCATTCTAATAAATATGAATGGTTGAGATATGTTTGATTACCGCCCAAAGAAACACTCGGTGCTCTCTCCCTCTCCCACCTACCCACGTCTCTACCCGTTCCATCTTTTTCTCTCTCTCCCTTTGTGTTGCACGCTACCTCTCTCCTTCTCCCCCCTCCTCTCTCAGTGGCTTGAATTCGCAACCCTCCCACTCGCTACCTCGGACCTCTCCGATTTGCAACCCCGATTGGAGCTCTCCGTTACCACTCTCCCTCACTCCGACGTTCGCAATCAGGACCGCTACCTACCCATCGCCAACATCAGTCGGATCATGAAGAAGGCGTTGCCTTCCAACGGCAAGATCACTAAGGATGCCAAGGAAATGAAGTTGTAGGAATTCCCGAAATCTGGTGAAAATTAGGGCTTTTACTCGATTGATTTCGAAGGGGGAAAATCTGGGAAAATGAGGGTTTTGATGGTTCGAATGTGGTATACGATCGAGTCGAGTCTCTCTCTCCGACGATCGAGTCTCTCGCCTGACTTGCTTCTCGCCGCTCAGTCCCGCCGGACTCTCTTCTGTCGACGGATCTGTCTTCTCTCGACTCTCTCTCTCTCCGACCAGCCTGATTCTGTCCACCGACTCCAACCTATAGGTATATAACTACAAATTGAAATCTGTTGTTGTTGTAGAATTAGGTTTTTTTTTAGGATTGTTTTAAGGGGGCAAAAAAAAAGAAAAGTTAAATCTGTTGTTGTTGTTGTAGAATTTGGGATTTTTTTTTTAGGGTTTTTTGTAAGGGAAAAAAAAAAGAAAATTGAAATGTGTTGTTGTTGTAGAGTTTAAAATTTGTGAGAAAATTGTTCAAAATTTTTTTTTTTGTGACTTATTGCTCCTCTGTGGTGTGGATGTTCTTTGTTATCAGGTGGATACGCTCCTGGATACTATAGTTACAACACCTCCTTGCTACTCCTCTGCCTTCGCTATCTGCCTTCGCTATTGTTGATTGGGCCACCCCCTTCTGCAAATCGTCAAATTAGTGGTTTATGGTTAGATTCTTTCCTATTAGCTTGAATTAAAACTCAACGATTGTTACCGTGCGGCGTCAATTCGACGCGAGGCGTTGCAGAGGCTTTCATGGAGGTCTCTCCGATCTCTCTAATTTCTGTTATTTGTAATTTTTATTTTTGTTCAAATTTTATGTTGTAGATAGAACATAAAATAAGATAGAACTATTTTATCAAATCAGTTGAGTAGTGGTTTGTTGAATAATGGTTTGTTGAATAGTGGTTTGTTGCTGTAGATAGAACTGCTCTGAATAGTGGTTGAATAATGGTTTTTTGGTTTTTAGTACAGATTTTTTTGAGATTTTAAAAATTATTTATGATGGCCTCTTATAGAGTTTCGTTTTAAAATAAAATGGATTTTATTAATCTTATTCGAAGGTATGAATTTGTTATTGATCTTAATCTTAATCTAAAAAGGAATGCATATGGACCTGGCGAGCAGTGGATTATTTATATTCCGTATGTTCTTTTCTTTTTCTTTTTCTTTTTTTAATTTTTTTATATGACATCCACATTTGCCAAATTCTATAATATTGTTCTATTTTTCAGGGTATTCCAAAAGTTGCAATGCCCGTGAATCAGGCAACTTCTGAGAGGGCTGAAACAGGCGCAGCAGCAGCTGCACCTGTCTCTAGAGCACCTTATTCATCTCCCTTGAATTTGTTTCCTCAGGTCTAACATTAGTTTAGATATTAGCAAAACCTTTTCAGTGAATTATATATTCGTTACTTGATTGGTTGAATACTTTAAAGAAAGTTACATTTTTGGGGGGGTTAGATTTGGATGTTACTTGTTTTCAATGTTTGGTTTGGGGATTTGAGCAGAGATTTGAAAAGAAAAATAGAAAAGATAGGTGAAATGTGAATAAAACATGCTTATATTTCACCTAATTTCACACACTTTTTTTTTTCTCTTTCTAAATTTCCCTCCAAATTCTCCAATCAAACACAGCGTAAATGATTGGATGTTTAGTTAAACAAGAGGTTGCGCCAAAGGATTGAATTACATTTCCTTTGCTTCAAAACATTGTTATTGTAGTTGAAAATTAATTAAAAAATTTAAAAAAACTAGAAAAGTATTCAAAACTGAGGCACCGTTTGGGAAGCAAGATTTGAGGTTTTTTTAGTTATTTTAGCCACAAAAAACAAAATAGATTATTTTAGTCACAATAAACAAAACATCACATTCAACCCATAAACATTACACTCTTCTTTCACAAAAAAAATCAAAAAAATCAAAAATCTAAAATTTTTTTTCCAAACTAAACTTTTTAACTTAGATTAAAATAATTAAAAAAATTAAAAAATCAAAAAATTAACTCACTTTCCAAATCAAGCCTGATTAGTTACCTAGTTACCAATTTGGGGTTGTTCTAAAACTCAGGTAGAAGCACGTGAGAGCAGAATTGAGAATGAAAAGTCAAGTAAAGTCAAGTCAGTTCCTCCCCTGAATTGTGGGTCCCAAAGCAGGTGTTCTTTCTTTTGACAGTTTTAACATGCAAGCAAGACAGGGTATCATTACAAAAAATGTTTGAGAGTTGTAAAAGCTTTAATGGATGGAGTTTACTTAATGATGTGATATTTTAATTTTTTATTTTTAATTTAATTATCACATAAGTAGAGTTTGATTTAGAACTTTACTTTTAAAAGTTTCTATCACTGCTCAGTATCATTAACAAGTCAATAATAACCTAACCTTACCAAGACTCCCCAAAATTTTTTTTAAAAAAAAATACTAATTAGATCAATCAATTAAACAAACAATTCTAATTGGACAGAACAACCTTGTTTTCAACTGTCAATCACTCAATCAATTTAAAATAATGTTTCATGATTCATTATGGCGGGAACTTAATTTTTTGATTTTTTTTATTTTTTTACTAAAAGATAAATTGATTATAAAATCAAAAAAAAAAAAATCTAAAAAAAATATCACATCAAACCACAAAAAAACTCAATTATCTTAACAAACACAAAAAAAAATTTCTTTAATAATATCTTAAAACTAAAAAAACTTAAAAAAAAAAACTATTTTCCAAACACCCACTATAAAAGACTCGAGTTTTACGGGATTAATTTTACATAATATGCCATGTCATTATACTTAAAAATAGAAATCTCAATATTTTCCTTATGAAATTGGGGGAAAAGAAGATTTTATTTGACAAAGTGAAAACATATGCCTCCCCCTCCGGGAAATTATATTTACAAAAAACAAAACAAAACAAAACAGAAGATTAAAAGAAATAGATGCGCATATAATCCTTTGAGCCCCAACATTGGTGTAAATTGTTAATCTTTCTTGGTATTTTTGTCTTCATACCCAAGAAGGTCCTCTAACAACTGGTCATCCAAGTACTCAAATTCAATTACTTCTCTTCCCCTCCCTCCCTGAGTTCTATCCACATTCTCAGCAGCAGTGGCAGAGGACGAGGACGAGGATGATGACGATGAAGAGGAAGAGGGAGGATACTCATCAGGGAAGTTAAGAATTGCCAAACGACCCCTCATTGAATGTGCGGCTCGATCATAAGCTCTTGCAGCCTCCTCTGCAGTGCTAAAAGTGCCAAGCCACACCCGCACTCCGTGCCTATTCGAATCACGAATCTCCGCCGCGAACTTCCCCCATGGCCGCCTTCTCACCCCTCTGTACCTCACTTCTCCTTCCTTCTCTTCATTCGCTCCCTTTCTCTTATCTTCTTCCATATTGTCCTCTGTTCAAGCTATCTCAATTACAGAGGACTCTGTTTCACTCTGTTTCTTTGTAGTAAGTACTCCGTTTCATATAGTTGTAGGAATAGAACTATATCTGAAAAATGTGAACATTTTATTTTTCATTTTTCTTCTGAAAAAAAAAGAAGAAAAAAACCCACCCTAAACAGCCTCAGTTACTCTTCTTATTGACAGCCCATGCTTCAGGAGCTAGGGAAGCAAAACCCTCACCTGATGAGGCTTATTCAGGAGCACCAGGCTGATTTTGTTCGCCTGATCAATGAACCTGTTGAAGGTGGAGAGGGGTATGTTCTCTGGTTGGTTATATTCATTTAAATGATAGTTATGAATGTTCACGGTCCTAATTTGCTGTTAATATGTTATCAGTAACGTACTGGGACAGCTTGCTGCAGCAATGCCACAGTCTGTAACAGTTACACCTGAGGAGCGTGAAGCCATAGAACGTGTAAGTATTGCCTTTTCCTAATTTTTATTTGAATTTAGATGTGTTTAGTCCCTTTTATCACATCTTCCCCATCTTTTTAGTTTACCCTACTATGGTGGCATAATTTTCGTCTTCACAGCCTTACCCCACCATCAAATACTAATTCTCAAACACATTGTACAATCAAATATGATGTACCCTACTATGATGTTTACAAGCTTAATAGTCATTTTGGAGGGTTTGAACATTGTGTAGACAGCATAATCAGTTATTTGTTAAAAACTGACATTTTGCTGGAGTTAGTGCAACATGTTATGTGCACATTCTTTTTGATATCTTAATTTTTATGTGATTATCCTAGGTTTGCTTGCTTATGGTTGCATCCATTTGAATGGACAAGTAACTTATTGGAAAATAAAAAGAAAAGAAATAGATTCAAGGCATTTTGTCTTCTGCAGGTTGGTAATAATTTGTTATTTGTCTTCTGCAGGTTAAGATTGCAATGATTGGAATCATGGCTGGTGGTGAAGGACTTGATTTTTCATTAGCTGCCTCAGAACCCATCTCATATGTCTCAGGTGTAATTAATTTGCATATCCTTGAGCATTACTGAATCTTCTCTTTAATCATCAAGAAATTGGTGGATGGTTAAAATTGTCTGTTACTGGTTTAAATTCAGTTATGAACTAATGATTTTCTATTAAGTGGTATAGGTTAAAGTCTTCTGATTTCTAAATCTTTACTTTACTCTTTATGTATGATGAAGTTATCTTAGCTGGACCATTCAGTGGTCCTGCTTACAAATTTAAGCTGCCAGCCACTTTGTTCTTGATATCGCTGCTATTTTTATTGTTATTCTTTTAATATTCTTTCAAGTCGCAACCTTTTGCTTTGAATTGCGATTTCAAATTTTGCCTTCAAAGGCTTGCGAAGAAAGCAGAAAAATATTTTAGGTGAGATTCTCATTTCTGTTTATCTCAATCCCTCTTTGTTCCTCTTCTTTATCTCTCCCTTCTCTCCGACTGGCTTCAATTCGCAACCCTTTGATTTGAAATTTTTGAATCATTTTTTTCATGGAAATCTTATAAGCCTCCTCAAGTTCTTGAGTAGTTAACATAGTTGTTTATTCTGAAATCTATGCTTTCCAGATTTATTCTGAAATCTATTCTGAATGAGTTTATGTCGTTCATTCTATTTATTTCTTTTGTGTAGTATAAGTTTGGTTGCTAACAAATTTGGAAGAAAAAGGGGAAAAAGACTATCATTTAGAATTAGAAGTCACACCCATTAAGTGTTTGTTTGAATGGGTCTGAGAGGTTCTTCCATTTTTTACCTGAATCGACAGTTGGGTTTTCTTGAGCTATCCATTTCATGGGTTTGTGCTGCTGGGTTTTCTGGTTCGGGTTCAAGATGGTATTACCATTGAAAATACTGAATTTATACACAAAAAAAAAAAGCTTAAAAAAGTGAGATGAGAAAAAATCCCAAACTGTTTAAGAACATTGAATTATTGAAGAACATTGAATTTTTTAAACACACACCAAAAATTTAAGAACACAGTTTTTAAACACACAAAATGAAGACACAGAAAATTTAAGAACATTGATTTTGTTTTTTTTAAACACACAAATTTTATGAACACTGATTGTATTAACAAATAAATCAAACTAATAAACATTTCAATTTCCTATTTTAGTTCCAAGCTTTGCGAGCTATGGTGCAGGCCAATCCACAAATTTTGCAGGTTCTTATCCGCCACTCTGCAGCCAATCTTTTTGTTTGTCCATCTAACATTTAAAAATGTGAACATTTTATTTTTCATTTTTCTTCTGAAAAAAAAAAAGAAGAAAAAAACCCAGCCTAAACAGCCTCAGTTACTCTTCTTATTGACAGCCCATGCTTCAGGAGCTAGGGAAGCAAAACCCTCACCTGATGAGGCTTATTCAGGAGCACCAGGCTGATTTTGTTCGCCTGATCAATGAACCTGTTGAAGGTGGAGAGGGGTATGTTCTCTGGTTGGTTATATTCATTTAAATGATAGTTATGAATGTTCACGGTCCTAATTTGCTGTTAATATGTTATCAGTAACGTACTGGGACAGCTTGCTGCAGCAATGCCAGTCTGTAACAGTTACACCTGAGGAGCGTGAAGCCATAGAACGTGTAAGTATTGCCTTTTCCTAATTTTTATTTGAATTTAGATGTGTTTAGTGTGGTGGTCTTGAAGTGATCTTTTGATAGGGGTTTTTTCCCCAGTACCTATGAATTCTATTGGATCCATAACTATACATTGGAAGACTCCTTTGGATCTCCTAGAAATATATCCATACCTGACCCCTCACATCAATTCCATGATCCTCTTAATCCTTTCTCATTCGAGTCCAACATCTGTTGGAATTGATACTTTGGATCCAGTTAGATAATATTTTGTAAATTTTAATTTTTTGTCAATTGTCCTTTATGTAAGCCACTTTATTTATTTGCATTTTTTTTGTCCAATTCATGTTTTTTGTTGTTCAAAAGTTTGACTTTTGTATTAGATGCTTGCTCTATTATTAGAATCTTGCGGTTTGCGATTCAGGTCATGATTCGATTTGCAATTCATGCATATATTGATACAAATCTATGGGTGAATCTATTATTAGAATCTTAATTGAATGTTTTGGTGGTCATAGGTTATGTTAAAGGAATAGTTTTGGTGGATATAGCAACCATGGTTTAAAGGAATATTATGAAAATATTCAAAGTTTGATTTTTTTATTTTGTATTCAAACAATCTGCCTTATTTTTACAATCTGCTTTATTTTTGTATTCAAACAATCTGCTCTATTTTTATTTTGTATATGGAAATTATTTTTTCTGAGTTCTGAGGTACGGAGATAAATAAGGATTATAAGATTTACGTGGTGTGAATGCAACTGTTTTTTGTGTTTGGAAAAAACTCTGGGAATCTTGAATTCCCTCTAAATGGGCAGTATTCGTGTGGAAGTGTCTTCATAATATAGTATTTGTGAGATGATAGTTAAAGATAAGAGATATTCCCAATCCAGTGTGATTGATTTGCGAATGCGGCCGAAACCATTGAACATCTCTTTTTTCAATGTCATGTATTACAAAGAATTTGGAGAGGTACTTCTAGGGGCTTGGACTTTACCTGTGGCCACCCAGTTTGCTTTAAACATGGTGGATCAATTGGGTTACAATGATTAAAGAAGAGGACATGATTGTTCAATCTATTGCCTTGCTATGGGCAATTTGGAGGCAGCGAAATAGTGTGGTCTTCCATAATGAAAAGATGACAATAGAGCATAACTATTTCAATTGCTAATGAGATTCATCAACATTGGACTAACTGTGCATTCATGTTTTCCAATGATAATATCTTAGAATGTCTTACTGATATCTTTGGAAAAAGATGGAAATACAGAGAATTGTGGTCTTCTTACTAATAACCTATCTTTAAATTCTGTTTTCCAGTTATATACATGTGTGGTAGATGGAGCATGGAAGTGCAAAAATGGAGAGACAGGAATAGCATGGGTCTGTTTCAATGAAAATCAAGACATTGTCTATCAACAAGCTGATTGTCTATCAATGAAAATCAAGACATTGCAGAATCCATTTTTAAGAAGTAAAACATGCTTTAGGAATTTTGAATTTTTATAATGAGCAGATGTTTTGAAGATGTTTTCATAAAAATGGAGTGCAGTAATTTTGAATTCAAAATTTTTTATAAAAACATCTGTAATTTTGATTTTACAGATGTAATTTTGAGCAAATGTTTTGAACAAAAATGGAGTAATTTTGAAAATGGAGTAATTTTGAACAAAAATGGAGCAAATGTAATTACTGCACTCAATTTTGATGATGTTTTTGTAAAATTACTGCACTCCATCTCATTAATTTTTGATTTCAAAATTTTAATTTTTGAATTCAAAACATCTGTTTTATAAAAATTCAGAATCCATTAATTCAAAATTTTGAAGTAATATTACTTTGGGAATTTTGAATTTTTGCAAAACATCTACTCATTTTTAAAACATCTGATCAAAAATTACTGCACTCCATGTAATATCCATTTTTATAAAACATGTTTTTATAAGAAGTAAAAATTACTTATGTTCAAAATTACATCTGTTTATAAAAGTATGTTTAAAGCATCTGTATAATGAGCATCTGTTTATAACATATGTTTTTGAGATGATAAGTAATATCTCAAAGCATCTTTATAAAACATATTTTTGTAATCTGTCAATAAATAAAAATTTATTAGTGACAACATTTTTAAAGTAGAAAAATTGTCAGTAAATCCAATTTGAGGGGTGCATTAAGTATTAGATCCAAGCTTTGGTCTTTGTTGTTTATAAAGACTCATAACACTTCTAAGTTGGTAAGGAAAATCATGTGATGGTAGGGATAATTTTTAACATTTTTACCCTCTATTTTGACCTAAAAAAATTTAAAAATGCATAACTTAAGTTCTACAAATCTATTTAACAAAAATGGAGTAATTTTGAAAATGGAGTAATTTTGAACAAAAATGGAGCAGATGTAATTACTGCACTCAATTTTGATGATGTTTTTGTAAAATTACTGCACTCCATCTCATTAATTTTTGATTTCAAAATTTTAATTTTTGAATTCAAAACATCTGTTTTATAAAAATTTAGAATCCATTAATTCAAAATTTTGAAGTAATATTACTTTGGGAATTTTGAATTTTTACAAAACATCTGATCAAAAATTACTGCATTCCATGTAATATCCATTTTTATAAAACATGTTTTTATAAGAAGTAAAAATTACTTCTGTTCAAAATTACATCTGTTTATAAAAGTATGTTTAAAGCATCTTTATAATGAGCATCTTTATAATGAGCATCTGTTTATAACATATGTTTTTGAGATGATAAGTAATATCTCAAAGCATCTTTATAAAACATATTTTTGTAATCTGTCAATAAATAAAAATTTATTAGTGACAACATTTTTAAAGTAGAAAAATTGTCAGTAAATCCAATTTGAGGGGTGCATTAAGTATTAGATCCAAGCTTTGGTTTTTGTTGTTTATAAAGACTCTCATGTTTGTTTTTCTTATGTAGTTAGAATTTGATTGGCAGCAGTAATACTAACTGGTGTGTATTTTAATTTTAATTTCTTTTAAATTACAGAGTACTGGTTGGTGTGCATTATTAGATATTTATATTTATTATTTTTTTTATATTTGATTTGTTTTGAATTGTAGAGTGTAGTCTATTAAATATATTTTTATAATTGCATTTTTATCTTAAATTTAAATAGTGTTACGATTACAATTATATTATAATCTTAACATTATTTATACCGTGCCTTCAGGCACGGGCATACGCTAGTCTATTATATGATAACTATCTAAAAATGTCAACAAAAACAACCACTCATTATATGATCATCATCCAAATACATACTAAAAATTAATTTAGTGAAAAAATAAAAAAATAAAAATGTAAAAGATTTATCATTTTTATATAATTTTATCTTTGATGAGTAAAAATAATTTTTTGAAATTTGGTTTTGTCAAACTAATTTATATTTTATAAAATTATTCAGTGTGTTTGGTTAAAATTTTTTAGATTAAGTTTTTTGAAAACTGACTTTTTTTATTTTTGTATTTTTTTATTTTTAGTGAATATTTTTAAAATTTTAAACATTTTTTTTACTTTTTTAGATGCACCTTACTTAGATGTATCTAAATAGTAAAAAAAAATTGTGAAAAAATATTTTAAAAAATTAATAAATACAAAAAAATACAAAAAATGTACTGAATTCTTATATATTTTTTTTATATTTTTGGTATTTAGTAAATTTTTTTTTCACTTTTAGGTGTATTTATGTTAGGTATGTCTAAAAAGTAAAAAAATTGCTTAAAATATTAAAAAAATTCAATAAAAATAAAAAAATACGAAAAATAAGAAAGTAAAATTTTTTGAAAAGTGTTTTTGAAAAGTAGAAACAAGCAAAGTGATTGACTTTGCTCTTGAAATGAAGCAACAATATTTTCAATTATCCTTATTTAAAACGAAATTCAAAATTTAAGATTAAATGTATCATAATTAAAAAGTCATATATTAAAATGACATAAATTTAAAATTACATGAATCGTTAATATAAATTTATAATTAAATAATTTATTTTTAAAATCATACTGGGCGAACTTGAGACTCTGCAATTGAGCATTAGTAATTGAAAAAATTGGAAAGAAACAAGAAAATTAATATAGTACAAAAGTTCGAGATTTATAGTTTTAAATTTATAAATTCACCTAGACGTGCAAGTGATTAGATTCTATATAGTAGAGCGTGTAGTAAATTAAAAATTAATTTTTATTATGTCACATCAATTGAATTAAATTTATAAAAAAAATTGTTCAGTATTTTTAAAATATCATGTGTCTATAATTTTTAGCCAATTATCATTCAATATGTTTTTTTTATATTTTCTAATCACTCAATACAATATCCTATCTACCTTCTCTACCAATCACAAAATTGTAAAATATTATATATTCATATTCTAAAATTATTGAATAATTACCCAAAATTAGAGAGTTTGTTTTAAGAATTTCAAACATTTTTCTCAATATAAATTCATTGGCAAAAGGACAAACTTTTCTTTAAAGACCAACACAGCCAAAACAGCGAGTCTATAAACTCAAAAAATAAAAAAAAAATAAAAAAAATAATCGTACTACATATACTAATTAATATATCAATTAGTATTATGACATTATTATTGATCACATTTATTATACATATTGTAAATATCTAAAACTTCTAAATGATATCACATCATCTATTAATACATTAGTTAATATACTAATTAATATATATCACATTATTTTAAAAAAAATAAACATAAATCTTATCAGAGGCCAAAATTTATTTATGAGCCCATAACAACTTTAAATATAATATAAAGCATTAATTGATATTTTAGACACTTTTTTTTTTTTGAACGACATATTTTAGACCAGCAATGTTAGGTATCATAAAAAAAATTTTATGAAAATAATTATGAAAGGCTTGTGACCTTTAGATTACACTTAAAATAAATCACTACACACTAATCAAGATAATTTAAAAATTACAAATTTTTTATAATCATTGTCATAAAAAAAAATTTATAAAAAAAATCTCATGATACCTATCTCTTTTAGACACTTTGAAGTCGAATAGACTTCTTGAATGGAAAAAGATGTGAAAAACAGGAGCTGAGCTAGTACACATCTTTATCATCACCAATAACCAAGTTTGGATACCTATCAATGCTGTCATCCCATGGGCCCTTCTGGGCCTCCCCAACAATGGGCCTAACACACTCCCAAACCAGGCTAGTACACTTAATCCCACTCCCAATCCCAATCATCCACACTTTGTCACCTTCCTTCACTCTCTCCTTACCCTCCATGTATGCTAACTCGTACCACACTGAACATGAAGACTGGTTCCCAAACCTATGCAATGTCACCAAAGCAGCCTCCATATCTCTCTCTCCAAGCTTCAACCCTTTCCCTATCTCTCTTATCATCCCCTTCCCCGACGCCGGCAAGCAAAAATGCTCAATCACCGACCTGAAATCCGGCATGTAAATTTCCACAGACTTGTCAATAACTCTCTTCCAAACCTTCGAAACCACGTACCGGAACATTTCCGTCACCGGCAAAATCCACGAACCAAGGACGGTGATGTTTGGCCGGAGAGTTTCTCCGACCACCTGCAACACGTCCTTCCTGAGTGTCACACCGGTCATTCCTTTCGAGTCCTCCTCTCGAAAGGCCGCATAGTAAGCCTTGTCATCAAAAGCGCTCTGTGATCTCAAAGTCCTCAACAACCTATACTTGGAGAACTTTTTAGCTTCTTTTTTGTTTGTGACCCATATAGCTGCACTGCCCATACGAAACATACAGTTGAGAATCATCATGGATTTTTCTTTTCCCGGGTACCAACCGGTGGACAGTATCTCAGTGCTGAGAATAACAGCATGAGAGTTTTTGTAAACTTTCAAAAGATTCTGAGCCATGTCAATGCCGAGTGCGCTTGCACTGCAGCCCATGCCGGAAATGTTAAAAGTCTTAACATCGTCTCGCATGGCATATTTGTTGACGATAATGGAGGAGAGAGAAGGGACGGGGCAAAACCCGCTGCAGTTGACGATAAGTATGTCGATAACGAGAGGAGAGAGATTGGTTTTGGAGAGAAGGTCTTCGAATACTGGGAAGAGAACCATTTGTGCTTCTTTAATGGCTTCGTGGTGGTGTGATGTTGGTGGAATGTGGTGTAGAGATGGTGGGAGGTAGGTTTGTTGGCCTTGTCCTGAAGAAGTGAGGACTTTGGCCATGAAGGCTGTGGTGTTTTCGTCCCAGAAACCGGCCATGCCGGCGTGTTCGAGGAAGGTGGAGAAGGGGACTTTGCAGAAGTCTGGTGGTTTGAGACATGAGAAGTCTAGGAGGTAGACTGGTTGTGGGATTGAGAGGTGGTAGTTGAGGAGGGTGAAGAAGAGGAGGAATGAAGAGAGTGAGAGTATATGAAAAATGGGTTCCCATTTTTGTAAGAAAAGAAAAGCTTCCATGGAGAGCATGAGTAGTAGAGTTGAGAACCTTAGGAGCTCCATGAGGGTCGAATGAATATGTTTTTCTAGAGTGGTGGTGGTGCTCCATGGCTGGGCTTGGAATGATACTCCATATGTGTGTGTGTTTGTGAGAGAGAGAGAGAGAGATACAGAGTTGTGGTGTGGCAAATTTTTTGGGGGACGTGTTTGGAGAGGGCTTAATGGGTACATATGCAGAAGAAAAATGCTTGAGAGCACTAAAAAGAGATCACTAGAAGGAGCACTAATGATGTGACAGTGGGTCCCGCCTACTTTCTATGCCTTGTTTTTATTTATTTTTTATTTTTTTTGTCATTCCCAATATATTAGTGCTATTAGTGATGTATTTTTTAGTGATCTAAATTATTGTTGTATGCAGAAGCAGGTTGTTGGAATTGACAAGCCAAGATTTATATATGGGAAATTGTGGGAAAAGAATTTTTTTTTTTTATAAATACATGGAGTGTATGTATGTTTATAATAGAGTATAAATGAAAAATTATAAATATATAAATATCTCTTACATTTCTTCTTGATAATTATTTTTTTTTAAAGATATTGAAGATTCTAAAAATTTTAAAATTTTTACTAAATATTTTATATAAGTGTAAAATTTATATAAGATTTATATAATGTAAATCTCATATCAATATAAATATTTAATAAAAAATTTAAAACCTATAACATTTTTTTATTTTTCGGACCTCCGCGTGTGGTTCCCATTTATATATGCACTCAAACTATAAATTGAGAAGGTATAATTCTACTCAATCATAAAAGATTTCATAAAACTAATCTAATGGTATTGTATAATATATAATAAAATATTACAAGATTTCATAAAACTAATCTAATGGTATTGTATAATATATAATAAAATATTACAAACACTATAAATTAATTTAAAGATAAAAAATCTTCATAAATTTTTTTTTATGATATTTGTAATGCTAAAAATAGTAATTAATGTACCAATTAATGCACTAATTAAAACACAAGACATATGTGAGTTTTTTAGTCAACCTTCGTTTGGGAAGTGGGTTGACTTTTTGGCTATTTTAGCTTGGGCTATTTTAGCCTAGTTTGGGAAGGACTTTTTGACCTTTTGATTTTTTTGATTTTTTTTGTGAGAGAGGATTGTAATGATTATGCGTTGGATTTGATATTTTGTTTTTTGTGTCTAAAATAGCTTATTTTATTTTTTATGACTATTTTAATCAAAAGAACTTAACTTTTTTCTTCCCAAGCAGAGCCTCGATAATATCCTGCCACGTTAGAAAAAACTAAAAGTAAATTGGGTCATCTTAAAGACTCATCAATTTAACCTTAGGTGGATCTTCTCCTCCCAAACTGTTGTTCTGTCTGGGGGTGAGTATGATTCCAATTGATGTGGATTAGAGTGAAATCAAAATTAATTTATTATCTATAATTTTAAAAAAATTAAAATTAATTTAATTTATTTAAATCATGGAATTCATATGAATCAATTCATTTAAACCAGGATTAGATCGGTTTAAAAATTTGAATTCACATAATTAAATAACAAAAAAAATATAAAATATTTTAATTTCACAAAAATATAAATATTGGCGCTGTTTGGGAAGTGCCTAAAGAGGCTATTATAACCTAAAAATTTTTTTTAGCCAAAAAGTCACTTTTGTAAGCTTTTTCAATATATATATATAGGACTGCACAGCCGGTAGTGTAGGCACAGCCTACACTGTCAGCTAGAAATATTGTTCCATCAATGAACATTTTACGATTTTACCCCTTGATAGCAATTTAAAAAAACCTTTTTTTAAAGACAAATTTGTCATTTTAATTTCAAACATCATTTCAACACATTTTTTAATACAACAACTCAAATAAAATCTATCTTATCTTCCCAAACACAAAAACTAAAATAGCATACTAAAATAGCCAAAAAGCCAAATAGTCTACTAAAATAGCCACTTCCCAAATGAGGCCATTGTATCATATTAGTTCCACAATAGCAATAAATTTTTCTATAATAGCGAAATACTGTTATAAAATTTAAACAATCATAAGAAAACTAGTTTACCATAAGTATTTAGACTACTACAAATTAAAACAAAAAACTAATAAATAAAAACAATAAAAGAAGATACTTTGCAGGTTTAGGTTTGGATTTAAATTTTATATGGAATAAGAAAAGATACTATGAGGGAGGGTGTATAATACAAATATAGACTATTTGTATACGGTCCGGATCAGTTTCAATCCAGAATCGTTCCGGAACCGATCTGTAGACGACGAATTTTTAATTTTTTAATTCAGAACCAAACCACGAATTCAAAAAATAATCCACATTCACCGGATTGAACTGGACGAATCAGATTATAAATTTTACAAAGCGTAATTATCTCTGCAAACCCATTTGCATCTTACTTCCTTCGTCATTTCTCTCTCTCCCTCTCTCTCTCTTTCTCATCTCTAATTAATTATTTCTTCATTTTTCTCCTTACAAGTTCGAATGGCCAGCCACCATTATCACCGGCATCGGCGGCTTGCCTAACATTATAGTAATATTCACTTTATTTGATTTTTATTTTCAAAATTCATTTTTCAAAAAATTTTATTTTTTTATATATTTTTATTTTCAATGAAATTTTTTAATATTTATAAAAATTAATTTTTAGACACATCTAATATAAATATATTTAAAAAGTATAATATTTGTAAAAAAAATCTATAACAAATTCACTACCAAATATTAAAAAAAAAAGAGAAGAAAATTTAATATATTTTTCATATTTTTGTGTATTTATTAAATTTTTAAAAATATTTTTCACAGATATATTTTTTTTAGATAGATCTAAGTAAGATACATTTAAAAAAGTAAAAAAAAAAATTGATTAAGATTTTAAAAATATTCACTAAAAAAACGAAAAAAAAATTATTTTTATAAAACTGAATTCAAAAAATTAAATATTAATTTTGTTTTTATTAATTTTTGCATAATGACTAAACCTATACCATCAGTAAATCTATCACAGCAATATAACCCATACCATCATTTTCAATCACCAATTACAACACTGTCACTCATTGCCTTGCAGCTTCTAATTTTTCCATCTAAAATCTCCATTTTCACTCAAAAATGAAAATTTCAAAAAAGAATGAACAAATTAAAATTTTCTCTCTCTAATATATTGTGTCATCCAAACCTCACTCTCTTTTTGAATTTATTTTTTATTATCGAAAACTAGAGATACATATATATATATATGGTGTCGTATAGGAAGGGCTCATTTGGCTCTTTGAGCCATAAAGACAGAATAGGCTATTTGAGTCACAACAGACAAAACATCACATCCAACCCATAATCATTACACTCTTCTCTCACAAAAAAATTCAAAAAACCCAAAAAGCTAAAAAGTCCTTCCCAAACCAAACTTTTGAGATCAGGCTCAAATAGTCAAAAAGTCAACCCACTTCTCAAAGGGAGGCAAAATAATTTTATTTAGGGCTTGTTTGGCATGTATTAAATAAGTCAAAAAGTCACTATCTTATTTAAGTCACATCATCTTATTTAAATCACATCACCTCTCTAACACATCAATATATATATATATATATATATATATGGTGTCGTATGGGAAGGGCTCATTTGGGCTCATTTGGCTCTTTGAGCCATAAAGACAGAATAGGCTATTTGAGTCACAACAGATAAAACATCACATCCAACACATAATCATTACACTCTTCTCTCACAAAAAAATTCAAAAAACCCAAAAAGCTAAAAAGTCCTTCCCAAACCAACCTTTTGAGATCAGGCTTAAATAGTCAAAAAGTCAAAAAGTCAACCCACTTCTCAAAGTGAGGCAAAATAATTTTATTTAGTAAAGAATAATAGAGTGGTCCAATTTTAGAGGGCAGAGGATGGGTAAGCTTTTCATTTAATGAGTATCGGAGCGGACACTGAGAAGAGAGAGAGAGAGAGAACTTAGGGTCTGTAGAAAGAGAAGGGAAAAGTTAAGGATCAAAATTTTTTTTTATAAAAATGATTATGAAAAATTTATGATTTTTAGATTACCTTGATTATTGTATGGTGTTTTATTCTAAGTGTAATCTAAAAATTATATATCTTTCATGATTATTTTCATAATTTTTTTTTTCATGATATCCAACATTACTGGAGAGAAAAATGGAGTTGGGCGGAGAGAGAGGATTTGGGTTTAGTAAGTTTCTAAAAGGAAGTACACTATGGTTTAGTTGTATGTACAACCTCTTAAATTGGTTGTCCCACTCATTTATTAATTTTCTGATGTAGCAAAAAATTATCAAAAATATTAGAAATTTTAAAAATTTATCAAAATTTTTATCAAATATCTCATATAAGTGTGAGATCATATAAAACCCACATATTATTAGTCTCATATCATAGAAGAGATTTGATAAAAATTTTGATAAAATTTTTAAGATTTTTAATATTTCTCAAAAATTAATGGACGTCCGTAGAGCTTTTGCGGCTCAGCCGTATAAAACGTATCTCAATTGGAAAATGTTATTGAGAAAATTATTCAGAAACATAAATGTGGTTTATATGCACTAGTATTGTTGAAAGTCTCAACAAGTCTCAACCTCACAAGTAAAATTGATCAATTAGTGAATTAACTCGAATTTATTTCTGTGATTTAAATTATTTATCTCATAAGATAAATTAAAAGAATATGTATGTAAAAAATTAATTTGATCAAACATAAATAATTATATGATCAAATCACATATATATTATAATATATGAACAATTTATTTTTTAAAATATTTAGGTTGGTATAGATAAAAATAATTTGATAGTGTAATAATCAATATTGAATCAATTTAACTCTGTGCACAAATAATTTTTTCAATTAGTTATATAAAATGATTAGTTTAAATTACCAAAATAAGTTTAAATTAAGTTAATAGGAGTTGTTTTGGATGAACTATATAAGTGTATTTTTTGAATAAAAAAGTAGAGAAAAAAAATATGATTGTTTGGGATAACTTTTTGACTTTTTACGAAAAAATGTGTATTAAAATATTCTATAAAATAATAAAATTATTGGATTACCCCCAATGCCCCCTATGCGTGTACCGACAATGATTGTTTAGGAAACCAATTAGTTGCGTTGCTTTCAAGTTGTGTGGTGTATTGGTCAGTGCTGTTCGGCCCCACCACGAAT